TTTTTTCCAAATATTGCCTACAGACATTGTTAGAAGTGTTTGGTTCAATGTTATATTTGTTTGCAATAAAAGATTCTCATGGTTCTTATGTAATTTTTTTTCAAGAAATATAAGATTCTTAACTATTTAAAGGGAATGTGAGATACTCTTTCATTTCTTAGATTTTTTTTTTTTTTTGAAAGCTTTCATTTCTTAGGTATTTTCACAGTTATTACTAATTTTGCCATTTTAATCCCATTATTTTTTTCTAGGATGTTTCAAGTTCAAACTCTTAATTAAATAATTTTAAATCACTTCTACATTTTATCATTATAATGCCTTATTTATGTATTTTAATAAATACATAAATACAAAATTATTTATAAAAAAAAAATTAAAATTAAGAGCAAAAGAAGCATTTTATTTAAGTGGCTATAAAATTGTTTAAAATATTGTTGAAAGTTGAAACTATCTAAATATATTAAAAAAAAAAAACTAAAATTAAGAGCAAAAGAAGTATTTTTTGAGAAATTGGTGGAGCAAACCATCTTTGGCCATTTGCGGCGTATGACGTGGAAATTAGTTTAACGAATGACAGATTGTGGCGTATGACGTGCTTCTATTGTTACCCTAAGCGGTGGAGGAGGAGGGAATCATGGCAGTTGCTTGATGTATTGAAGGGCAGATAAACACTCCCTTGGGTTGTGATAGGGGATTTTAATGATTTTCTATATCAGCACGAGAAGAAGGGGGAGAATCCGCATCCAGATAATCTCTTTCGCGGTTTTGGGGAGGTTATTGACAGTTGTGGTTTGCTTTAGTTACCGATGAGTGGGCACCAATTCACCTGGGAGAGAGGGGGAGGTACGGAAGGCTGGATAGAGGAGAGGTTAGACAAGGTGTTGGCCATGACAGGTTGGACTGATATGAACGGCGGTGCTTGGATTGAAAATATACTGACTCGTATTTCGGATCACTCGACTCTTTTCGTCAATATTAATGCAACGACTTTGCATAGGGGTAGGAGTTCGAGGGGTTTTTGGTTCGAGATGGCTTTGCTCCATGATGAGGGATGCAGGGATGTGGTTGAGACTGCCTGGTAAGATGGGAGGACTGAGGGGTTGCTGAATTTTCAGCAGCATTGTGGTAGTAGACTGATGCGGTGGGGAGGGGAACACTTTCATAAGTTTGGGGACCGTATGAAACAGCTGCGAAAGAAGCAAGAAGTGTTGAGAGATCGGAGGGACCAGGCTGCATTGGCCGAGTTCCAATGATGGGAGGGTCAACTTTGCCGGTTAGAGGCCTAGAAATGTGAATTTTGGAGGCAACGAGCTAAGCAACACTAGCTACGAGTGTAGATGCCAATACAAAATTCTATCACTGGTATACTTCTGCACGTAAGAAAAAGAATTTTATTCATAAAATTAAAAATGCTGCTGATGTGTGGGTGGATGGAGAGGCTATGAATGTGGTTATCTTGGAGTACTATAGATCTATTTTCGCCTCTAATAATTCTGTGTGTGATGACCCCCTGTTCGATAATTTCATCCCCCGTGTGTCTCATGATCAAAATAACACTCTATTACGACCCTTTGAATCTGAGGAGATCAAAACTGCACTGTTTGCTATGTTTCCTGATAAAGCTCCAGGACCGGAGGGAATGAATCCGGATTTCTATCATCACTTTTGGGATGTACTGGGAGGTGATGTGACTTCTTTTATTTTTGGCTGCTTAAATTCTGCTTCCTTTCCTGATGGTTTGAATGCATGATACAAATGTGGTTTTGATCTCTAAAAAAAGTAAGCTGGAAACGGTAGCTGATATGAGACCGATTGCTCTGGGTAATGTATTGTATAGAATTATGGCCAAGATGATAGCAAACAGAATGAAACCACTAATGGGGGATCTAATTTCGGAGTCCCAAAGTGCTTTCATTCCTGGTAGACTCATCACAGATAATATCCTAATAGCTGCTAAAGTTGGCCATTATTTGAATAGAAAGCAGTGTGGTTTGACAGGATGGGAGGCTTTATAGTTGGATATGGCAAAGGCCTATGATAGAATGGAATAACAGTTTTTGCATAAAATGCTTGTGGTTATGGGATTTGATGATCGTTGGGTCGTAACCACAGTAAAGTATAATATTCTTGTGAATGGTATGAGTAGTGGGCGCATAACTCCCTCCTGTGGTCTTAGGCAGGGTGATTCTCTCTCCCCATACTTATTTATTATTTGTGCGGAAAGTTTATCAATGTTGTTGCAGAAGGCTCAGATGGCAGGATCTATACATGGATGTAGGGTGGCTAGGGGAGCCCCCTATTTCACACTTGTTATTTGCATATGACAATCTACTGTTCTTTAAAGCAAATATTCAGGAGGCCAGTGTGATAAAACAATGCCTGGTATGTTATGAAAAACTGTCTGGTCAAATGGTCAATTTTCATAAATCTAATATCTGTTTCAGTAGAATACCAGGGAGGAGGATAGGGCGGCGGTGGCGGAATGTATGCTGGTAGAACAAGCCCCCAATTTTGGTATATATCTTGGCCTGCTTTCATTTGTGGGAATGAATAAAATGGCTATTTTTTCTTATGTGGAGGATAAAATCAGACATCAAATTAGTTATTGAACAAACAGTTACTCTCGCAGGCTGGTAGGGAGGTGCTATTGAAAAGTGTGGCTCAATCTATGCCTACTTTTACAATGAGTGTATTTTTGCTACCTGATCATGTTTGTTTATCTGTTGAGAGGACCATGAACAGGTATTGGTGGGGGAGTGGAACGGAGAGAGGAATTCACTGGAAAGCTTGGGATAAATTATGTATTCCTAAGAATTTTGGTGGATTGGGTTTTAAAGATCTTCGTGGTTTTAATTTGGCTATGCTAGGAAAACCGTCCTAGCGTTTCCTCACAAATCCCACCTCCCTAGTAGCAAAAATATATAAGGCACGATATTATCCTTCTACTTCATTTGTTGATGCAACTGTAGGCAATTGTCCAAGTTATTGCCGGAGGAGTATTATGGTTGCACATGATATTGTTTGTTCCGGGGTGCGCAGGAGGATTGGTAATGGTAGAACGACTTTGATCTGGGTCATGGTTACCAGACGACCCTAGCCCGCTGGTTCAAACAGAGATGCCAATTGAATTGAGAGATGCTCAGGTTGCAGGGTTGATTGATCAGCAGACTAATACTTGGGATCTTCATATTTTATGTGATTTATTTATTACTAAGGATGTGGCTCGTATATCTAAAATTCCTGTTAGCCCAGATTATGAAGATTGATGGTATTGGCTTGGGGACTCCAAAGGAATTTATTCAGTAAAGAATGCCTATAGAAATATTATTGGGGATTATGTGTGTGCCCTGTGCTTTTAATAAATGGGCTACATTTTGGAAACTAAAAGTACCACCCAAATGGAAGACATTCCTGTGGAGAGCAATTTGTGATATTCTCCCCACTACTACCAATTTGATTTTAAAGAGGGTGGAAGTGAGCCCTACATGCCAAATGTGTAGTTTGGCTCATGAATTGAAGATGTTATGCATGTTCTAGTATTTTGTGAATATTCTAGACTTGTTTGGAATGTTACAGAATTACCAATCACAAATATTGTTACCAACTCCTTTCCAACATGGTTTATGGGTGTATTGGCAGTCTTGACGGAGGAGCAATGTGGACTGATGATCGCCGTGTTGTACCATCTGTGGGGAAGCCGAAATTCGGTCGTGTGGAAGGGGGCTCTCCCACGTCCAATCGATGTTTGGAGGAGGGCTGCCACCGACATGCACTCTTTCCAGAAGGTACATCACCGCCCCGCACGGCCCACGCCAGCAGCAGCAACAACGATCGAGGACCACGGCGGCTCGCGGTGCTACGTCAACGCAGGTTTCCGGCAGGACACCGGGGAGGCCACGTACGACATTGTGTTACTCTCTTCAGGAGGCTCGTTCATGTCAGGCAGGTTACCCGCCTGTTTCTCACCACTTATGGCGGAAGCCCTAGCTAATTGTAAGGAGGCGTTATCTTGGCTTATGGAAAAGAATGTCATAACGGTGAGCATTCTCACAGATTGCTCGGTTCTACGAAGTGTTTTACACCAGAAAACAACATCTATCCTGTCCTATGTTGGGATCGCGGTGGATCAATGCAGGACTTCCATGTTATTATTTAATTGTTGCTCATCAAGTTACGTTTCTAGGCAAGTTAATTTACATGCTCATACTCTAACTTCGTTAGCTTTTACTCAGAATCTGTATTGGGAGTGTATCCCTCAGGACTCTATTGCTACTTTGATTCATTAATACAATCTTTTGATTGGCTTTTAAAAAAAAAAAAATACCGTTAGTACATTATTCCATGCAAATAAGAAATTCAAAATTACATGAACTCAAATTTAGAAAGTCTAAAATAATAATAGTAATCTAACCATACGGCAGTATTAAAAAATCTAAACCTTAATTATAATAAGATACATTTTCCATCTTGTATGTCATGTTTACTATTTATTAGTTAAACAAATTCTAGTTTCTTTGCTTATTTTCTTTAGTACTTTTTTTTGCATTTAATATAGAGTAATATTTTTATTGTAATTTCTAAATATATAAATTTTATATATTAATATTAAACTTAATATTATGAAAAGTTGAATTAAAAATAACTTAGTCAAGTCTCGTTAACTGAATAAGATAATAAAATGAGACAGATCGAGTAATATATTAATAGTAAGGACTATTATATTATTAATCTCCCAATTTTAACTAAAATAGGACTGAATTATTATTAATATTATAATTATTACCCTAATCCTAATCTAAATAGGATAATAAACATATGAATAAATAAGTGAATCTCTACATGACCGTACCGTATTTCCATGCTAAGCTAGAAGGAAAGGTTGAACTAACCCAACATATATATACAGCAGGAGAATGGCGACAACGATAACAAATATGATAGGGATCCCCTTACGAAATCCAAGCATAGGAAAATTGTACATTCACCACATTATTAGATCTATGGAGCCATCCCCATCTACTTTGGGCGATTTTTCGCTGGAATTTCAATTCGATCCCCGCTCCGACATGAGTTCATCGGCGAACGCTTTATCGTTCAGCTCCGGCATACTCCCCGCCGTGTACTATCGAGCCGATGTGGAAATTGCCGATCAGATAGCGACGTTTGCTTTTAACCATGTGAGTAGCAGAGGCTGGCGTTATGGACTGTCCATGTCGGTGACCATGGAAACGATTCATCATGTGATTGATGAACGGAGAGATGATGATTTGTTAGATAGTAGCGAGGATTTGAGTGATGATTATGAAGAGGTGGGTGATCTTTTGTTGGATGAGGATGAGATGATGATTGAAGAAGAAGGCTCTGAGGAAGTGATGAATGGGAAGAATTACGGGGACACCGCCTTAGGTAGTACGTTGAGGAGTGAAGAAGTTGGTGGGCATGAAGAGGAGGGCGAGTGTTGTTGCATATGCTTGGAAGGGTTTAGAAGAGGGAGAGGGGTGGTGATCGCTTCATTGTCTCCCTGTTCGCATAGGTTTCACTATACTTGCATTGCTCGATGGCTGGACAACAAACCAACATGTCCTATTTGCCGTAGAAGATTTATCGGCATGTGTATTTCATAAATGCAAATATCTACATACATATTTGAAAACAAAAAAAAACAAAACAAAAAAAACAAAACAAAAAAAAAAACAAAACAAAACAAAAAAACAAAAACAAAAAAAAAAACAAAAACAAAAAACAAAAAACAAAAAACAAAAACAAAAAACAAAAAACAAAAAACAAAACAAAACAAAAAAAATAACCCCACATAGGGATGTAAATCATGGTGGCTCAATGACTCAACAAACATGGTCAAATAGTGCCGAGATTTGAATCTTGGTGTTTTTCCCAAATACTAACTACAAAAATTGTTAGAGTTGTTTGGTTCAGTGTTATATTTGTTTGAATATAAAATATTCTCATGGTTCAAGTTATGTAATTTTTTTCAAGGAATATAAGATTTTTAGCTATAAAAGATTCTCATGATTCAAGTTATGTAATTTTTTTCAAGGAATATAAGATTTTTAACTATTTAAAGGGAATGTGAGATACTCTTTCATTTCTTAGGTATTCTCATAGTTATTACTAATTTTGCCATTTTAATCCCATTGTTTTTTCTATGATGTTTTTTAAGTTCAAACTCTTAATTAAATAATTTTAAATCACTTCTATATTTTATCATTATCATGCCTTATTTATGTATTTTGATTTTTAAATTTATTGCAATACATAAAAATAGATTAACGGTATTAAAGTAAAATAACTACATGTTTACATTACATGTCTTAGATTTAAACCAAACACAAAAAGGTAATCTAACATCCTGTGAATCAAACGCTCTCTTGAGATTTACCAAAATTTTATAAAAATTTTAAAGATCGTTACTGTAATATTTATAAAGTTCTAAAAGTGCATTTTCTACAAAGATATCAGTAAACAACTAATATTTATGCAATGAAAAAAAATGATACATTTCTTCATTTCTTGTGTTCAATTTCATGTTTCACGTTTTCATGATATCTAGCTATTTGTTTTGAATCTAGGATGGCTACTTGGCTAGCAATTTCTTTTAATAGAAACATCATATATATTGATCAAGAATTAGAAAGCAAAGCACTATAATACTACTACTACATCAAATGCATTTTCTAACCCCCCCCCCCCCCCCCCCCCCCCAGACCAAAAAAAAAAAAAAAAAGAATAATGAAATGCAATAGCGCAACCTCTCCCTATAACTATGTTACATAATAATCAAGATGTTTACAACACTAGAGTGTACAATACAAAATTCAAGAAACGTAACTGAGAACTCCTAAACGCTACTGCGCACTCGACAAAAACCAAAAACATGAAGAGTGAAGGCGAAATGGTAGATAGGGCTCTTTCACAGGAGAACATTGAAACAATGGTGCATAAAAATACATTGTGAAAATCTATATGCGGTGATACAGAGGATATACAAATGGTAAGACGCAAATCCTTCACATGGGATGATGAAACTCCATGTTTAGTCACTGCTCAGTTCCAAGGAGGAGATGACGGTTTGTACATGAAATCATGAGATGCTGACCCATAGTTTAGGTCGAGGCTGTGTAACTGCTCCATCAGCTGAGAACGTCGTTCTTTGAAGAAGTCCAAGCGTGTAGTCAGTTCCACCAAGGTGGAAGATGCAACAGAAGGATGTCGGGGATAATCCAAACCCTGCTAAACAATGAATCTTTGGAGTTAGTTGGTACTAAAGAATCACAAAACCCTTAATTTCTTTCGGCTAAATGATTGTATTTTATTTCAATTATCACCTCTGTAACCCTTGATGTAGAAGGCACAGACACAGAATCAACACCACCAACCTCATCCATGGATAAACCAGCAGATGCCTCAGTACTCTTAGAATCACTCAAGGTTGTTGTCTCCAAAGAATGTTTCCGACCAGGCTGCCTGCTAGTGCTGCCAGATGTCAGAACTTGTCCCTTAATGTTCCTCAGCTCAGAACCAAAGACTTCCTGCTTCATATCTCACAAAGGTTAGGATATCAAGTAGTATACCGAAAAATCACAAGGATAACTTAAAATTGAAAATTTAAAATTTTTCATATTGACAGAGATAAATAGATGATATACGGGATATTAATGCTGGTGGAGAGATAATAATTTGTGAATATATTATCTACGGTTAATGAAAACATTCTGCAGATTCAAGGAATAACTACAGCCTGACAACTGAAAAAGGAACAACTATTTAGCTTCTTTTTCGCATGTTCTTATTTTGCTTTCTATACAAGGGAAAAAAAAAAAAAAAAAAAAAAAAAAAAAAAAGATAACAGCCAAGCTACATAAATCTAGGCCAAGCCACAACTACACGGCCATCTAATAACAAGGATTGAACTCATGTTCCTTATTTCAAACCTCTCTTTTAGTTGTAAATATCAATGAACTTACAATAAATTCAAAAAGCATTTAAATTATTATTATTTAAAAAAAAAAAAAAAAAAACCACTAACATTTAACCAAAAATTTCCTGTCTTAATATCCAGGACTGAATTCATGTTCCTTATTTTAAACCTGTCTCTTTTAGTTGCAATATCAATGAACTTACAACAAATTCAAAAAGCATTTATTTTTATTATTATAAAAAAAATTTAAAAAATAAATAAATAACATTCAACAAAAAGTTTCCTGTCTTTCCTTCATCTTAGGGGTAAAAAATGGGGGGACTTCACAAGTCTAAATGCTCAAAAAACAAACAAAAAATTGAGGAAGCTGTTCCCCTCTTTAAATTAATAGGGAAAATACTACCCCTAAGGTATTATATTAACATGACAGGAAAAACATAATAACATATTATGTCTGCAAAACCCCATATTCTTATAATTGAGTATAATAATTCAGACTTGGATTATTATTTACTGATCACCAGTTAAATAGGATCTCAATCTCGCAATATAGCAATTCAAACCAGAAGATCATAAGATGGAGAGGAACTCAACAGTATGTAAAATTATGCATACACTGGCAGTATATACACTCACCTCTGTTCTCTGTTTCCTTTCATGATTACAGAAAGCGAGGGTTGTGTCAAAATCTTGCTGAAAATATTTCCTGCAGAGATGAGGAGGATAATGCAGACAAAATTAAAAAAATTATTGAAGCCATTGGTCCAGAAAACATACATACATACATACATTCAGAGTATGACCACAGAACATTGATTTTACCATGAGATGTTGACTAGACTAAGGGTTTAAGGTTTTATTTTCATTTTTGGAAATTTTTATGTATCCAGCGTACTAATGAACCTGCCCCTAGACCCTGATTACCATTCATCTTTGGATTTTACTATGAAATGTTGACAGCGGGCTTTTATTACAATGTTTGAAAGTGGTATCCAACAAGTATTTCAACTTACAGTTGAGGATTATTGTTTGGGCCATGTTGATAACGATCACAAGCATCAGGTAGAGAGCCAAAATGATGTTGGCGCTGCTGATTAAGTTGATGGTGCAATTCAGCAACTTTCTGCTTCAATCTAGCCACATCAGCTTCAGCAAGTGCTATCTCCTCAAGCTCTGCCCTAGTCTTCAAAATAGAAAAAGTGCCTTTAGGACATGCAAAAAATCATTGGTAATTTAAAACTTAGTAGGATACATTAGAATCACTATGAAGTACGAACCTTAGAATCCATACCACGAGAACCTGATAACTGCCCAGAAGACATGCTCAAACCAACTTCCAATGCAGCCCTCAAGTCCCTCTCAGCTTGTAACTGTTCTTGTAATCTTGCAACCTATTATAACAGTCAAATTTGATAATGATAGTCCAAATATGATTTGGAATTGAGACCAAAAAATTAGAGTATAATAAACTGCACTTTTGGCATTTTTGGAGCCAAGAATATGGACGGAAAGAAGAAGGGAATAAGATATATTTCCAAGATCCAACCATAATGTAGAGTTTTCAAACTTAGTAGTTGCATGTTTAAAGTTCTCCAGTAATTATTTTAACTATATTTAAACCATCTTCAACATCATTAACTGAACTAAATTCATAGATCATTACAAAATTTAACACTAACTTTTCTTGATATAGCAAAAGTACCCATTTACAGGTGGCAACATATCAGATTCATGTGAAGTCTCATTGTTAATCTCAAAAGAACACTGAGCACATGATGCAAAAAAAAAAAAAAAAAAAAAAAAAAAAAAAAAAAAAAAAGTGCTGAATAGAAGCATTTCAAAATAAAAAAAGAAACATACATCTTGTTCCAGTGCCAAACGTCTCTCATGCAATGCTTGTTTCCTTCTTTCAAGGCTAGCCTGCAAAATTGCATTCCCTCTTGCCTAGAGAAGATGCAAGTCCAATTTGGTTAGAAATATAACTTAATACCCAGAAAGTTTGCTTTAGAAAACTACTTGACCACAAGCTCACTTACCACCAAATAAAATTTAAAAGAAGCAATTAAAATAAAATTAAAAACAAAAAAAAAAAAAAAAAACAAAACAACAACAACAACAACAAAACAAAATGAGCTCATATGTTACCTCTTTTGCAATTCTATGACGCAAATCATTTTTTGTAATCTCTAGTCTCTGTATAGCAAGCCTATTAAAAATGTCAAATGCCAATTAGACACAGTATTGAATGAAATGAACAGGACAAAGAATTAGCAAAACAAAGGTTTTATCTTACATTCGATGTGGATGGAGAAAAGGGCACAACATTGTTCTGAGTAGACTTTATGTTTTATGGTTTAAATAAAAATGAATACTTCATAAATTGTTTTTAAATGCCAACAGATGCTAGGTATAGAAAGGAGCACCGACATGCAAATATTATTTCATTTCATAAGATTATAAGAACAAATTCCACTATGGGAGAATTTAAATCATTCACCACTAGGATGTATGAAATGAAATATCTCTGACACTCATATGTGATCGAAGGAAATTGTGCAGAAATATGACCTTCAGAGTAATAGGATAAGTGAAGCAATAGAAAATAGTCTCATTTAGAAAGATGTTTTAATAAAGGGAAATATTTTTAAGAGAGATGGAGCATACTCTTCCTCTCCAGAAGAATCAACAGACTCCATTGATGGAGTCTTTCTGGCCTGCAAAGTAGAGAAATCACAGCATCAGATACACCATTCATTTTCCATCAAAAAGATATTGCAGTGGAAGAAAAATCTTTGACATAATAATGCAATGGTTTTTACTTTTTATAAGAATATTTAGCTTTCCTGAGAGAAATAAATGCAGTCTAACCCACATAATCATGAAGTGAGTGATACTGAAAATTTCACTCACTAGTGCTGGGATTACTTACAGGTGCAATTAAATTAAAAATATTATATTACTTGGCAAAGCGGAACTGGAATCATATTTTGGTGCACAAGTACTTAATGGAAACAATAATTAGTGCAAAACTAGGCCTAACAGGGAGAAAAGAATATAACAGTAAATATTACACCTTCCATAAGTGTTAACAAGTAAGAATGAAGTAGAACAGACAAAAATGAAAAGGAAAGGAGTGATGAATAATTCTCTCAACTACCATAAAAAATGAGAAGTAAAGACCATAAAAAGAAGGAACTGAATTGAAGCCACATCTTTTGAAGCATAAAAATGATATAGAGGCTTTTGGTAACAAAGATATCATGGGGACCAACACTCACATTGTTTCTACCCCAGAATGCTGATCTTTTGGCACTGAGATTGGATGAAGTTAATTTACTGGAAGATTTCTCCGCAGACGAATCCTTCCCAGAAGAAGAGTGAGGCAGCCCTTGATCCATAGATGAAAGTATTTCACCCATAGACCGCTGTGATCCATTATTTGGTAATTCGGATGCAGTAGCAATCTCATTTTCAGATGTCTTTTTATGCCGGTCCAGCTGTTCACTAAATAAAACATTAGACTCTGCAACAGGCTGAGAGTCTTCAGTTGGCTTAAACTCCATACCAACCACTTTATTGTTCCTTGGAGAATCAAAATCAGAATCATCACCTCCAAAACCCTGCGTTTAATAAACAAATGCACCTCCTTAATAAATAGCTAAAACTCAACAGAAACATAATAAGATACAACCAAGTATCATGAATGATGATGCTTTCAAAGACATAAAATTCTTAGACTTGGACGTTCACAAGCAGATGATATAAAATTGATGGAAGCTACCAATCTTTGTTTTTCAGAATGCTACAATCAAATCATGTGACCATTTAAGCAAAAAGACATTTGCTTCTCAAAGAATACGTTTATAGTTGGTGTTAAAATACTCCCCTAATTTGAGATTAGAAAGGCACACTCAACCTCTGATGGCAGTTGTCTATGTTTTTTCAAACTGTACAATATGCAATCTGATAGGCAAACAAAACTCAGGCAGTGTAGTATACAGACCATGACAGGATACCTTCAAAATTAAGCACTTACCCCTTGGTGGATTCATTCAAAGAACAATGCCCTCAATGCAAAGACTCTTACAAAAGCAAAACATTGTTGGTAGAAGTGTTGCTGTCTATGTGAACTAAAATCTATCATTAGCAGAGTTGAGATATTCATATCATCCTTCACTAGCATACAAGTTGATTTGATTTTGCCAGATGTAGTTTCAGTCATATACATTACCGAATATACATGAAATTGTATGTATGAACTAAAACTTGAGCCAGATATCTAACATCATCTAACTACTAGCACAATAAGCAATAATGAATAGAAAGCCCATGTTTGCAATACAGAAATTTGTTTATTAACAGAGCCAAAAGGAAGAGTTCTTTAGGTAATTGAAGGAGGAAGAGAGAGGAAAACAACCTTATAGTCATATAGATCACTGGCAGCAGAACTGCTGTTTTCACTTAACTTTCCACTAAGTACACGATCATGATCATCATCTGATTCTTGCCCAACCTCATTTTCAGCATCATGATAACCATTGTCTTTCACCTCCAAATTTTCATCATCACTTGAATCTTCACTGCCACTGTTTCCAATCCGAGAATCCGCTGAAATAGAGCACCTATGCAGATTATCATCCTGAAAGAGCACAGAAAAAATAAAAATAATAATAAGTAACATATGATAGTAAATACAGCAAAGGAGGCAATACACCTTAATCACTTTAGCTAAATTCATAATAATAAATATATGTTAAAATAAGTCATGACTTCACTAATTATTTTCTTAATCTTGGGAAAGTGAGTGATGGTAACCGTTAAGCAGAGTTGCAATAAATAAATAATAAAAATAATCCATACCAATGCTCAGTCATATTTATAACACACTAGACAAAGATGCAAGAACAATGCCCTAAGACAATGGGACATAAAAGAAGAAGGTGCATCACAATCCTAGACAACCAAGAAACCACTGATTGGATTAACAGTTAAGTGATACAAAAGTTAAAGGTGACAAGTTACTGAACAAAATAATTGAAATACTAAATGGACAATTAACAGAGTAAAAGAGAATATCTAAACAGGGTTATATGATAAATATTGTTGGTCATAACTTTTCTAGATCAGTTTATTAGGCATTTAGAGTTTATATGGAAGAAGTCTTTACAAAGTAAAAGAGCAGCTAATTAACCTTAGCACAAGGGGAAACATTGGTAGGAAATATTGGTGTTCACAGTTGAACATGCAAGGTTGAAAGGCCCAGGGTGAATAATAATATCTTATCTTATAAAAAATTATTTTTAAAAGATATCTGAATAAATAATATAAAAATAATGCATCCTAAGATACTCAATCAGAAACCAGCAAAATTTTCCGTTAAATTTTGACTTGTGCAGCAATAAGGGAAAGAAAAACATCCAAGTAGAGAGAGGGGGATGAGGGGAAGTCCCAAAGAGGAAGAAATAAGTATAAAGTAGCTGAATAGCTATCACACCAGCAGAATCAATAAAATCTCTAAATCTACAAGAAGATAGTATTTGCAAAAAAGTTATGGTCTAAGAGGAGCTTACATCAAAAATATTCTCATACTCCTCCAAAAGTGTTGTAATGATAGCTTGGGCATTATTAGCTGCATTAGCAGCAGCAAGAAGCTGTGCCGAGTTATCACCATTAGTATCAAATTCATCCTCCAGTTCACATTCACCAGCTAAGAGAGGCCGCAAAAGCAGTGGTGCCATACAAGCAGCAACAGCAGATGGACTCATCCTATTTTCAGAAGCATGTGAAGAAATTGTGTGCATCATCTTCACAATTCTACAAAGGAGAATGAATAGGTTAGCTTGTAACAGGAACCAAGTGTCCCTTTCATCTTCTTGGCTCTATTGAATTTTCAACTACACTACGCTAGAAAGAAAAATATCTTATTCCTATTCAAAAGTACACTAACATCGATCAGCTAAAACATCCATAATAATATCACAATGGGAAAAACATATTTAATAGTTTGCACCGATATCAGAGAGTCACATCATATAGTTTAGATAACCTGCCCAAGAGGTTCCTGGGTTATTTTGCATCAAATCAAAAGCAACCCATGAACCCCTCCCTAAAAACATGGATTTGTCAAGAATATTTCAAATGCACACTGCACCCAGAAAGACAATACCTCTGTAATAAGCGCCGGTTTGGTTCAGGAAATGTCTCAACTATAGCAGAGCGCATAGCATTTACCCGAGCTTCCTTCCTATCAATTTCTTTTTTAAAATTCAGGGAAACAAAATATAGTTTTAGATAAGAATGAAATATTCATAAAATCATTTACTTATAATTGTGAATTTCATAGAAAATGGAAAGAGTCAAATCCAGGCTTCCAAGTTTCAGCAAACCAAAATACACAGGCAAGTAGATTATATCTGAAAACAAATACTATTTGAAAACAAGTATGTATTCTGTCATAAAACAAATAGTCAAATACTCTTACAATTTTAAATATATTATCAATGCAGTGATAATATTCTGTATATCTAAAGCTTGAGTATTTGATCCTTGAATATACAAATCTTTCATATTATTGAAGTTGTCGAGAACAATGGCGAAACAAAAAACAAAAACAAAAGCTGGTGCGCTAGCGCCCAGTGGGCGCGTTGAGTTGGCGAACACCCTCATTTATTGTTTTTTTTTTTTTTTGCTTTTTCTTTTCTCTTTTTCTTTCCCCCCCCCCCCCCCCCCCATCATCTCTCCTACTTGGCTCCTAAAAACTTGTGAAAAAACCATACTAATGAGGATGCTCTTAGTTCTCATATGTTCGCTATTGCAGCTCTCGCCTTTTGTGTAGTGTGCCTCAAGCATGCACTATTCACTACTTGTCCCTATAGGATGACATTTAGCCCATGACTTACGTTTAATACTTTCAACAGAATACAATAAACAGTGTGCAAAGTTCTAAGTAGCCTCATTAAACGCTTCTGGGACATGTCTGGACATCTGGTGTCACCCCTTTGCTCCATGTCTTGTAAATAAGGATTGAATCCCCAATGTTGCATGCTTAATCCTGGTCTTGCAAACATGTTTATGTTTTTATCTAAAAAACATAAGCATATTATGGCTTTTACTATAAGCATGCGTGTCAAAGAGTCCCTAAACTATTTAGATTGGATGTTAGCTAGTAATATTTTTATATTGTTACTTTTTACTATATTATTCATTAGTCTTTGTAATAGTTTAGTCTTCTGTGGCTTTCCTATTAGATAGGACTTATTTCCGTAGAACTATTCCTCTATTTGTATTGTAGTTCCTGTTCTATTGGATTTTGAATCGATAAGCTGTTATCTCATCTGGTATCAGTTAGACCGGGTTTGGGTTTCTCTCTCCACCACCACCACCGATTCTTTTTCGCTTTCGTTTCTCTCCCTCGGCGTCCGCCATGTCTGCCTCCTCTGAGCGCACGACGTCCGTTGATGGCACTCCATCTTCGTCCCCAGCCCAAAACCCCCTAAACAGCGCCCACCATTTCGTTTCAATGAAACTCACTTACCGTAACTTTTTGTTTTGGCGCACTCAACTTGTGCCTTTTTTGAACGGTCAAGAACTCATGGGATACATCACCGGTGATTTCCCGTGCCCTCCGTCGTTGATCGATGCTTCCCCGGCGACTGGTCAGTCCACGACATCGACAACCACCATGGTCCCGAACCCAGCCTATAAGGCGTGGGTTAAGCAGGATCAAACTCTGCTATCTCTTCTCATCTCATCCCTCTTGGATGAGGTGATGCATCTCGCAGTCGGGCAGTCAACATCCAAAGCTGTTTGGGACTCCATCAACACTGCCCTTGGGAGCTCCACTCGTGCGAGATGCCTAGGATTACTCGGGCAATTCCACGCACTTCGGCAAGGTGGCAGTAGCACTGCCGAATACTTAGGACGTGCGCAGTTACTAGTCGAGGACCTTGCGCATGCTGGCCGGCCAATCAGTCTCGATGAGCAAAACATGTTTGTTCTGAGGGGGCTACGGCCGGAGTACCGATCCATGGCGTCGTCCTTAACCGCTGCCGGCACTCCAGTCACAATCCCGCAAATCGCGGACTACCTCCGGGCGCAGGAATTCTTGCTTGTGGAGGATTATCCAGCGGCGGCCGACCATAATTCCGCTGCTCCGGCTGCTTTTTATGCCGGGCGTGGCCGCAATTCCGGACGCAACTCAGGCGGGCAGAACGCAGGTCGCGGCAGTTCCGGCAATCCGGGTCGCGGCAGAGGAGGTGGAAGTGGCCGTGGGCGCAATGGTGGCCGCGGTCCACGATGCCAAATATGCCGAGCACAGGGGCATACAGCCCTGTATTGTTTCAAGCGTTATGCTCCACAGCCCGCGCCACAAGCCAATATGGCCGTTCCAGGTGATGAATCTGCCGCAGGTTCGAATGCCGCAGGCTGGTACCCGGATACGGGGGCCACGGCACATGCTACACCCGATGCGTCTATGCTATCGCAGTCGGATGAATATAATGGTGGGGATGTCCTGCGTGTTGGTAATGGCGCAGGTTTGACAATCTCACGAATTGGTCATGCCTCTATAGCATCTATGTCTAAAGTTTCGAAAACACTAAATCTGTCTAACGTCTTATGTGTTCCTCAGTTATCTGTCCCGTTAATGTCTGTTTATCGTTTAACAAATGATAATCCTGTTTATTTTGAATTTCACAAAGATTGTTTCATTGTGAAGGATTCACTCTCCCGGGCAGTTCTGCTTAAAGGTCCTACGGAAGGCGGCTTGTACAAGCTTCCTGTTCCTTCGTCTCATTATGCCTTCCTCACATCCCGCACCACTCCAGTCATTTGGCACCGCAGGTTGGGGCATCCTCATGCACATGTCCAAAATCAAGTTCTAAAGTCGTGCCCAGTTTTGCCTAATAATACAAAGTCAGCTGAATTATGTACATCGTGCCAACTCGGCAAATCCTCTAGATTCCCTATAAATAGAGTTACATCTTCTAGTGCAAATGTGTTAGATTTAATTTTTACGGACATATGGGGTCCGGCACATGTAACCTCTACTAGTGGATTTCGTTATTTTCTGCTCTTTGTAGACGATTACTCGCGTTTTACTTGGTTTTATCCCTTACGGGTAAAATCTGATATATATAACTGTTTCGAGTCGTTTCGAGTCACGGTAGAACGCCAATTTTCGCGTTCTATCAAGTGTGTTCAGTCTGATTTAGGCGGTGAATACCGCAAACTGCATCTTATCTTTGAAAAATTGGGCATTGTGCATCGTCAATCATGTGCGTACACGCACGAACAAAATGGCCGCGTTGAACGCAAAAATCGTCACATAGTTGAAACAGGTCTGTCGCTACTAGCCGAAGGCTCTGTTCCCCAAAAATATTGGGACTACGCCTTTGAAACAGCCACAACATTAATCAACTACTTACCCACTACTGTCCTAAACAATGAAAGTCCATACAGTCGTCTCTACAAAACTACACCACCATACACTTTCCTTCGCGTCTTCGGGTGTCGGTGTTTTCCTTATCTTAGGCCATACAATCGGCATAAGATGGATTATCGCTCGACACCCTGTGTCTTCCTAGGGTATCCCTCGTCCTTTAGGGGCTATAGATGCATGGATCCAACGAGTGGGAAAGTATATATCTGCCGTCATGTACGGTTTGACGAAACTGTGTTTCCTTTTGCAGACTTGATAGAACAAGACAACTCAGTATCTATGTTACCTGCCCTGCCTTGGGCATCTAGCCCGGTGGTAACTCAAGTGGAGTCCATTGCTGTTGTTGATCCGGTTATACAGCGTTCTCCGAGTCCCACACCATTGGCTCAAGAACCCGCGCCTTTAACTATTGAAGGCCCGGTTCGGGCCGCTACTCGACGGAAGCGGGTCACACGAACTGAGTCTCGGGATCGAGGCCATGTCATGAGACTACGGCATATGACTCGTGGTACAGGTGAAGAGTTACAAGCATTAACTGTGACTACTGATCCCACTTGCTACTCTCAAGCAGTGGGCCATCCAGAGTGGCGTGACGCTATGGACCAAGAGTTCAATGCGTTGTTACACAATAACACATGGACTCTAGTGTCCCCTAAACCGGATATGAACATTATTGGTTGCAAGTGGGTCTTCCGCACCAAGCGGACTGCTGATGGTTCTATTGAACGTTACAAAGCTCGCCTGGTTGCGAAGGGGTTCAACCAGGTAGCGGGCGAAGACTTCTTTGATACTTTTAGCCCTGTCGTCAAGCCGACAACAGTCCGACTTCTATTTTCACTGGCTATCTCCCGTAATTGGACTTTAAGGCAACTTGATGTCCACAATGCCTTCCTAAACGGACATCTGGCCGAAACAGTGTATATGAAGCAACCTCCGGGGTATGAAGACCCGACTCATCCAGATCATGTTTGCCACTTACAGCGGTCGTTATATGGTCTTAAACAAGCCCCTCGGGCGTGGTTTAAAAGACTACATGATTATTTACTGTCCGCCGGGTTCTCATCTTCGAAAACAGATGTCTCGCTTTTCCACTACTCCGCTGCTGATTCCCGAGTATACCTTCTTGTATACGTCGATGACATTATTATGATGGGTAATGACCCCACGCTCATTACCGCTTTACTACAGCGTCTGTCCACAACTTTTAAGATACGGGACCTCGGCACCCCTGGTTTTTTCCTCGGCATTGAAACTATATGTACTCCCGACGGTCTCATGATGTCACAGCGCAGGTACATGCATGACATTCTAACTCGAGCGGGTATGTCGGATTGCAAGCCGTTGGCCACTCCAGCCGCAGTAACTCAGCCTGTATCCTCGACTGTCACTCCACATGAAAACTCGACACAGTACCGCCGTATAGTTGGAGCCCTACAGTATCTGACTATCACCAGGCCGGATCTCTCGTATGCTGTGAACCGGTTATGCCAGTTCATGCACTCACCGACTACGGATCACTGGGCCTTGGCAAAGAGGGTGTTGCGTTACATTAAGGGTACTCTGCACTATGGTCTTCTCATTAAGGTCTCAGATTCAGCGACGATTCACGCCTTCTCTGACTCGGATTGGGCAGGGTGTCCGCTTGATAGGAAAAGCACAGGTGGATATGCAGTGTTCTTAGGCCAAAATCTGATTTCATGGCTATCCAGGAAACAGCGTACAGTTGCACGATCCTCGACTGAAGCTGAGTACAAGGCCCTCGCAGATGTGGCTGCGGAGGTGACTTGGGTTGTTTCGTTGCTTAAGGAACTTGGCCTACACACTGGTGAGCCTCCGACTCTATGGTGCGATAATTTGGGGGCAACATATCTATGTGCGAATCCTGTCTTTCATGCCCGGACCAAACACGTCGAGATTGACTTTCACTTTGTGCGGGACAAGGTCGCGTCAGGAGACTTGTTAGTCAATTTCGTCTCTACTAAGGATCAGTTAGCCGATATTTTCACCAAACCACTGCCAGGTCCGCGGTTTTCAGCTCTTCGGGACAAGCTCAATGTGGTTGCTTACCACCCTTAAGCTTGAGGGGGTGTGTTAGCTAGTAATATTTTTATATTGTTACTTTTTACTATATTATTCATTAGTCTTTGTAATAGTTTAGTCTTCTGTGGCTTTCCTATTAGATAGGACTTATTTCCGTAGAACTATTCCTCTATTTGTATTGTAGTTCCTGTTCTATTGGATTTTGAATCGATAAGCTGTTATCTCATCTTGGAAAACATGGCCTCTGAAAAAGCAAGCAGAACTACTTATACAAGGTCTTGAAAAAATAGGAGGAAGGACAAAGTGGAAGCATATTGTGGTGGCTCAAGACAGAGAGAAACAAACATTCAGAACATTCCTTAAAATATTTCAAAGTCTAAAAGGTTAACTCACTGTATGCCTCCAACAAGGCAGTGCAGCAAGATGCAGGCACTGGAGATGATGGCAGCTCGCGAAGTACATGCTGCACAGGGGGTAGTTACAGTGAGCACTAATTTAACAAACACAATGAAAACAAATTATGCTAATGAGATTGAGGTAGCTATCATTACCTTCACACAGTCACCAATTACATGGGCATCCTCATCTGGACCAAATTCAGTCTTACCTACAAAGAAATGCTCGCATAATTTAGCTTTCAAGAATACCTTATTCTAGAATAAAACAAACACACCATAACAAAAGGTGGTACAGCACATATTTCTTTTGAAAATCATGGAACAAAATGACTAGCTCAACTTCAGAAGTAAAGCAAACGTTAGGACTTAGGAGGAGGTTTAGAGTTTGGACCTTGCTCATAAGCTTTTACTCTCTGCTCCACTTCCTCTACATCAGCAGATTGTCGCAATATCCCTTCAACTTTAATTCCTGTCAAGAAGGTTAAACAAAGAAATCAACAAGGGAACTACACATAGCAATTATGAGCTGGACAGTATTAGCAAAACAGATAGAGAAGTGAGACAAATGAAGGGGAACTAAAGCAAAAGAATATAGTCTAGAGTCAAAGTTAAATTAAGAAGTTGGCAGGCTTTGACTCATATCATTTCTGCTTCTCTTTCATTCTAATGGCAATGGAACTTTCGCCCAATTGCCCTATCTGCTTTCTACTATATAAATAATTTATAGGAAAGAAGTTAAATAATAAAAACTGCTATCTCTGAACTAAGAACAGGGGCAAAACAAAAAGAAAGGCACACAAATAAAAGAGAAGTATCTTTGGAAAGTGGTGCCATATGAACACAAGCAGAGAAATAGAATTGCTCTGGCATCAAGGAAATCCATGTGGGCATAGTGTTGGAGATAATTTTGTTTACAGAATGTTTTAGACTTTTAGGAGAAAATATGAATATGTGTGCACCTTTATACTCATTGTGTCATGTTGTGCTCACTTTTAGCTTTGGAAGAATTTGAATGCAGAATTCTTCTATTAAAGTAACTTTTATTGATAAAGAAGAGAATTTCATCCAAGAGGATAATTTGCAATGAAAACCATAACGTTTAATTTGGTACGAAAATGAGAATTACTTCAAATACTCATTTTTTCCTTTATTTTATTTAGTCACAGGAGAGAAGATTGTGAGTTTACCATGCTTCTCAAGAAATCTAAGTGCCTTTTCAAGAAAGGATGGACCACCATCTATATCTTCTAAGGCAAGCAAGATTGGCCGTCCAACAACCAAAGACTTCACGGGACGTTTATCCCTCCCTACATCAAGAAAGAACCCAGTAGGCCTTTATTAGAGAGGCAAATTTTGAAATTTAGTTTACTAAGGAAAAAATATAGGAAGTAAAAAAGGTTTAACTAATAATGATAAGAATGCACATACATTGATGGAAAGAACCTTCACTTGAATCACCGTTGTCATTCCGAAATATGCCATTCTGTCCCATCACAAGGGCAGCATTTGGTGCTTGTGCAAGAGCATGTTCAAGAGCAGTCTTCCACTCATACAAATCCTCTGATGTTTCAGCCTGCATAAAATCCTCAGAGCTTGGTAAAAGATAAATATTCTTAAACAGCATATATGTTAGTGCTTATGAGTATCTTTATTTAAGTATTTGGGTAACCAAAAGTGCACCTTAAGAGTAAATGCCCGACCATCACGTCCATCAGGAAAAAGTACAGTTAACAGTTTTTTATCTTCTCTAACAACCACACTGCAAAACAAAGTACAGGAACTAAGGACTGGAAAGAAAAGCAAAATATAAATGCTGCACCAGAACAATAATAATTACCTTCCAGAATTATTTAAGTCTATGCCTCCCAAAGTCAGATTAACTTCACCACCTCGTTGTGGAAGAGTACTCTACACAATAAAGCAAAAGCATAAGAACGAGTTTTAAATAATACTCCATATTAGTTTGTCTTGATTCTTGTGAAGAAAATGTACAGAACACATGAGAATATACATGCTATAGCAGCTGTTTTCTTTCTTTGTCGGTCCATGCAGTTGAATAACATTAATCTTCTATTTGTAAGTAAATAATCAGTATAGAATTAAATAATCATCTAAAGCATTACATTCATATCATATAAACTACAAAGTTAACTGCAAAAATTTATTAAGCTATAGGATGTTAATGTACAAATAAAAAATGTCTATGAAGATAGTTCAAACTTGAGAATGATTCCCTTAAAACTAGGAGGTACAATAAAATGGACATGTTTACTGAAATAATAAACCTCCAAATCAATAGAACCAAGAAAAATACTAACAGGATCATTCTTGAGGAAAACTAAAGATGTGCGTGTGAGAATGAACCAACGCTTTTTCCATGACTTCCAACCTAGTCCTGCAAATGTAACATGTTTTTTGAGGGACAGATGGCTGATGAAAATAGAGCTGCAATGACTTTAACAAAGGATGACAGTCCAATTATGCAATTTGATTTGATAGGATTTCATCAAGGAATTTGAAACTTATCCAGATTAATTCGTAGCTATTTGTGTCTACTGTTTCAGTATTTTGTTAATGGGATTATTTAGTCATTATACTGAAAGGCATTCTTCTTTTCATAAGTAACATAATTAAAAAGAAAATGAACTGAGTGGATACTAAGATTTCTGTTTGCATAGATCCAATAGCATTAGAATATTAGCAAATATTCAAGTTTTACTAACCTTTTGAAGAGATGAATAGTGGCCCACTCTTGAAAACCTGTAAATCACCAAATCAATATAAAAACCAAAAATGCAAACATTAAAGCAACAAGAGAAGAACCATAAACAAGTCGCGTCATTTCTGTTTGCACAGTTGTCTAACCTTTATCTTTACTCCAGCGATACTTGTATATAATACATTCTTACAGCACAAAGACAAGAGATCTAAAAGCATTCTACAGTACTAAAATGAGAAGTAAAAAAAGACTGATAAAACATTTAAAGATGAAGAAGCAATATTACATAGACTCTTTCTTTTTTCGTATTCCTGTGGCTCCACAGAAAAAGACTGTATTACAACGTCATTTCATAAATTTCATGCAAAACAAAAAAAAATGAGCACTGTGCACCAAAATCAAAATCAATTTGTTTATATATAACTACATGGGCATATACCCACATTGTTTAAGAATAAACAACAGAGTGTGTATGAGTCATCTTTCATCACATGGAGCTGAAATGAAAAGATTTTGGCAGTTCAATTAACTTGTCTTCCCTTATTTCTCAACATAATCCTGATGAACTTAAAGCAAATTTGTGAGTGTGTTTCAGTATAGCAAGACAATCAGCAGTTCAATTTGCATCATCTCCAATATTTGAACTGACGTATACATTTCCATAGTAAAAAACTATCAATTAGAGCATTTCTCTTAACAAATTAGAGCTTTGGGAGGGGCAAACAAATTACGGAGTGCAATTATCCCTCTCCTACTCCTAACGGACGGTGGTAAAAGCAAGTCCAAAACAAGTCCAAATGTTTCCAGCACAATTTCGAACTTATTTGACTAAAAACGACTTCCCCATTGACACAAATTTCCACTTCCAACAAGCAAAACACAATCAATCGAGCGAGCTAGCAGGGAAATTTTCTGTTAACAGCGCAAAAACAAAGGAACGGGACATCGAAGAGCGAGATATCGCTGATTCCATACCGTATTAGAGGTTCCGACCCGAGGTCGCTCAAATGCAGCGAGCGAGGCCGACATTTCCATGAATCAATCGAAGGTGAAGGTCATGGCAGCTGGGAGATCACAGAGCTAAGCTCAGGCGGAGATCTAAAGGAGATGCGTAGGGTTTGACGAAGAACAGATTGGAGGAGGAGATGCAGCAGCAGCAACCAAACCAACAGAGCTTTATTTTCTGAGTCTGTCTTTTTGTTCGCTTGTGATAGAGAGAGAGAGAGGAAGAAACCCCGATAGAGAGAGAGAGAAATCGTGGGGGCAGATTAGGTGGAGTTTTAATGGTTACGTAGTGATACGGTAACTTTTTATTTAATTCCGAAATGGCAAAACGTAGTATTCTACTAAACTGTCAAGTTCAACTGCTGATCTACTTGACCATAATTGTTCCCAGTTTGGGTGTGTTAGATCACAATTCATTTTAACCTTTTTAATCAATCTGTTCACCAAACTTCGCCTTTCAAAAATATGATGAATCAATGATCAGCAACCACAATGAACTGAAAACTGTATTTATTTACTATTTTTTTTTATCTAGGTGGAGATCTGAAGCCACTATTTAAAAATGTGTTTTAGTTAAATCCAAAGCGCATTATAAATATATTATGTAATGCACTCAATTGATAGGGTATTGGCAATAATTGAACTCATAAATTTATGGTATAAGAGGGTGTGCAATAGATAAACTCCGCCTTTAAATCAACATATGTTACCCATAGTTGATTGACTCAAACCAATAAGACTAATAGGTCACTCCTACTAAAAAGTCGAACTTTTAACATTATGGTGGCAAATTATTGTGTGGACCAAAACGACGTTGTTGAATTTTATGAGTTAGAATAATGTATATGATGTGTTAGAACTTAGAATAATGTATATTATGTGTTATAATAACGAAACTTCTGAGGTACATTATGCTTTAGAATAATGTACATTATTACGCGAAACGACGTTGATAGGGATTATTCCCCGTACTTCTCGTAAATGCGTTGACCGGTCCGACGAGTACGAGTTATGCTCTGCCTAAATCGGTCAACGCCAGGTCAGTTAGTTGACTTTCCCGGTCACGCGAGATCACCGAGCTCCCTCGAGGGATGTACCGTCCTAAGCATAGCACCCGCTCCTCCCAACCTCTTTAGGTCGTTACCGCCCTGCTGCAGAAGACTGGTTGATCTTACGTTATTCAGGAATCTATCGCCACGTGGTCCCCTTCAATTACCGAATCCTGACCCGATGCATGGCTGCCATGCGGCCAACATGTCGAATGGCCGAAAGTTGTTCCCTAAACCCCTATAAATACCGCATTTAATGCGGCAAGAAAAAGACTTTTGGCTGTTTACCTACACGACAGTTGTATAGCTCGAGAACATCTGACCCACTGTCACATTTACCGGGCTTTACCAATAAGGCATATATGTGTGACAAAGGCGACCCGTCCGGTTAGCCGACCATTGTAACTCACCTTTATACGCATGAGTTATAATACTATCATATTGCAACCGTATTTTACTTTATCAGACGTATATTATTAGTAAGTCGTTTAATTTTGTGAGTTAGAATAATATACATTATGTTCATAAAAACTACTTATCATAAATAACATTTACTTCTTATATTATACTACAAAAAAACATGTTCCCACAAACAAACAAGCTCTTACTTGTTTACATAAACTATTTTTTACAAAGCTCAAATCATATGAATATCAGAATATGCTAACCTCCATGTAATTCTCTCATTTTTTTTAACCTCTACACCTGTACATGTACAAACGCCTTAAATATAAAGTGGGTTCAACTTTGTTTAACCCAAAAGGTTCATAATTGTAGTGTTCAGATTAATTGTTTTCATTCAATTCAGTTGTACGTATCCTAACTCCTAAGTAAGGCTAGGCACACAAATTTATACTCACAATTACACAAAGACATCATTTGATAAATTATTGATACAAAATCATTTTCACAAGCTTAGTTCACTGGTTTAATATGCAACTACTCAATCCACATAAAATTTCAAGTGCAAATTAAATAACTTCATTTTCCTTTCGTGTTCATTCATTCTCCTTTTTTACAACGAAATGGGGTCAGTTCGTAAATAAAAGTTTTGAATTATCTCTAACAAGTTAAAAGTTGCAGTATGGTATTATTTTTTTTTTTAGTCGTTTAACTATGGATAATCTATGTTAATTTATCTTATTGTGGTCATTTGTCTACTAGAATTACAAGACATGTTTCATTTATATTGCACATATGGGTAGCGGCTATGAATTTTCCTGTAAACCAAAATTCGTAATATGGTAACACGGTACATTATGAAAATTTTCAAAAAACTAAAATACATACATTTTTGTTGGCCAACGAAAAATTCCATAGTCATTATCTCGGGGTGGGCATTGAATACTACGTTCCTATGTAATTGTCTTCAAATCACATAAAACTAATGTTGATAAAAATTCAACTCGTAATATTTCCATCCACTTAATAATTTATTTTGGGGCAAATACATACATTTTACTTAATATAGAATTCAAGCATGTGCGGGTATACTACATGTATGGTAAGTTATTGTTAGCTTGATTACCTACTTTTGGCCGTGACTAGCTCCAGATGAGATGTAGAGATAGAAAGGAGATTGTGTAGATGCGTAATGAATGTGGGGTTGGTTAACGGCGGATGATTGAGTGTTTGATGGTCGGGTATCGGATATGGTCCCGACTCCCGACCACTCCACCACGTTGTACTGTATTTGTATACGACTACGTCCTAAACTCATACTACAATACAAGAGCAGGTGGTAGAAGCTCATGAAATTATTATTTCACTTTTAATTCATCAATTATGACGAGATTGTGATCGATGACATAACTGTGACTCTTTTAAATGGGAGGTCATTTTGAACTTCAGTGGGAAGTTGATTTTTTTTTATTTTAGTAGATTAAGAAAGTATGTAATTGACTCTTTGTGTTTCAGTAGGTTGATAAAGTATGTATGGACAGATACTACATCGTAACAGAGTAACAACAGAAATTTATAATGACCTTTTATCTATAGCGACTTTATTTTTTATTTTTTATTTTTTGTTTTCACTTTTAGTATATGATTTTTTCAAAGTTCAAATTAGGATCTAAAATATCATCCAAGATTTTTCAACCATAGATAATTTTGTCTACATTTGGTCTGATCATCAAATGTTTGAAAGAAACTTTAAGGATTTTAGCTTCTAATTTGTAACACAGTGTGAGAATCAAGTTTTCAGTAATTTAATTAGGAAAGTTATTTTTGTATAAATCGGTAAGAAATGATTTATCATTCCATTAATTTTTGTTATAAACGTTCCTAATTAATGAATTTGCTTTTCGAAAAAAGTGTCATCCAATTTAATACAGTGAAGTTTGACACATTTATGGAAGAAAGCTGTTACTTTGATGTGACAGAATTTAAAATAAATACTTTTTATAGAATATACATGAAAATCCCCTAAACCATTTTATTACAGATATATTTTAGAAAATACTGTAATGCATGTGCAATGCAAATTGTATACTGTATTTTGAAAATTGTTCTTTACCCTTTTGTATACATATGGCAAATTATAATGTATAACGATGCATAGCGTATGATATTGACCAAACTCGAATTTTAACAATGCCAAATTAATATATTTCAAATAGTAATTGGGCAAGTAAAAGGTCAACCTGTACATTTGACAATTAACACCATTTAAAGAGGGTAAGAGGAAGAAATAGTTGAGCATGAGAGCGACTCAAACAATTTCTTATAATTAAATTTTTTAAAAATATTATATGCCAAAATAATTTTTTTTTTACTAAAAATAAGATTTGTCATCGGCTTTACTTTTTGTTAAATAGCCAAACACAAAAAAAAAATATAATAAAAATAACTTTAGTTTTCAAAAAGATCCTAAGAAAAAAATTGCATGTCACATTTTATTTTATTTTTTTACAAAAAAGGTATTGAAATAAGGAATAAGGTTCAAATTGGCCACTGAACGTAATCTGAAAATGCAATTAGACCACTGAACGAAAAAAAAGTGCAATTAGGCCATTGAACACTCAAAAATGTGCAATTAGGCCACTGAACTCTCCAAACGTATGCAATTTTACCGGATAGCAGGTTACCATCAATTTTAGCAGGTTACCTGCTTACGTAGCAGCTTAGTCGGCATTTTTAATAATTTTTAAATAATTTTTAATAATTAATTTTAATAATAAATTTTATAAAAAATTGGAAAAAATTAAATAAAAAATAAAATAAAGTCATTTTTATTTTTTAAAAAATTTTTTTAATAAAAATTTATTATTAAAATTTATTAAAAATGCCAACTCAGCTGCCACGTAAGCAGATAACCTGCTAAAATTGAGGGTAACCTGCTATCAGGTGAAATTGCACATTTTTGGAGTGTTCAATGGCCTAATTGCACTTTTTTTCGTTCAGTGGCCTAATTGCACTTTCAAGTTACGTTCAGTGGCCAATTTGAACCTTATTGCCTTGAAATAAAAGTAAAAGATAATAATAATTGAACAAACTGTTAATGTTAAAAAAATAATAATTAATGGACGGAAATTGGAATAAAATCAGAAGGTCTCCGTCCAAGTTGCGATGGGACAAATGTCCAGCTCATTTTGACAACCGCACAACGTTATTTCCTTTATTTTTTTTCGTCAAATCGGGTCGTTTGGTTAAAGGGCAATTGGGGCTAGGAGTACTATAACCCACATTGCCATTTTTTAAAATTTAAAAATAAATAAATAAATACTAAAGTGCATCGAGTTTACTACATTTGGAGAAGTATATATAGAAATAATAATATTGTTTGTTTCTTATCACCCAACAAATAATAATTGTTTTCACAAGTTAGTGAAAAACTGAAAATAATGAACCTGCATCATTAATCTATTATTATGTATATGAGGGCAATAATGTGTACTAAACAATGTTTGTATTATTTAACATAATTATTTTTATTAATTCATGTTAAAATTTCGAGCAAGCCTAATCAAGTTAGTCAAACTGTTGACTTGATAGTTGATAATCACAACGTTTCAAGTTTGATTCCCAATGAGAAAATGCTTTATTGGTTTGAGTCATTAGCTATGAGCAAGTGAGCAATCGTCGTCTCCAGGCTCCCTGAAAAGTGGAGACATTAAAACAAACAAAAACAAAAAAATTATAAAAAAACGTCGGACCTTTTCGTCTCGAAGTTGCCGGAGACGAAGAGACCTTCGTCTCCAAGTAGTATGGAGACGAA